AACTATAGTCCAGCCCTCCAACGGGTCTGAGGGACAGTGAACTGGCCACCTGTTTAACAAGTTTGAGGACCCCTGTTAATATAAATCACCCCACAGGGGGCATAAGGGAATTCTACTGATAGTGTCATTAATTTAGTCAATAGTACAGACTTCAAAACATGATCGAGAAAAGGAAATTATGCAAGTATAGATGGGTTTTTCAGACCACAATACATGAATTGTGACTTGTACAGATTAAAGACTTAGGTGATTGGACTCTCTTTAGATGAACAGTGGGGGTGGGCGAGAGGGCAAAGCTTTCAATAGCACGTATTCACTACCAGACTAATATGTGTCCTGGAACGCAAGGAGAGCATTGTGCTTCCCTTTAAAAACCAGGGTTTTCTCCTTTCCACCTCCCCCCCTCCCTTGTTTGTCTCCCTTCTGGTTGTCCTTCCTTCTTCACTGTGCTCAGAGAACGCCAAAAGGACCCAGCAACCACTTGGTGGGGTCCTCACTTGTCAGATTGACATCAACACAATACAGCATGCCCAGGGCACATTATACTGGGTTGTAATCCATTGAATAAGGCAGGAACCGAAAAGTCCACCCTGAGATAAAGAAGCCACTGAACAGATGTGTGGGACAAGGAGAAATGTCTTCCTTCCAGTGGAACACCAAGTAATAAATAAAGAAGGGGCCTCAGCGTTGGAAACTCACTGTTGGACGATTACCAGAGAAATCTCAAATTCCGCCTGGAGCGCCAGTGGCGGCTAAGATGGGGACTGCACGTGGGATGAGAAGATGTTCCCCACTTGTTTACCAAGTCTAAAAAGTGTTTCAACATAAAATATTGATTTATTACAAAGGGGGAAACCAAGTAATTTATAGTGGAGAAACCTGACAGAGGCCCACTGCATCGGGCTATCCAAAACAAGCCCGCTACTAATGGGACAAACGGACACGGTACTTCCCGCTTACTGGCGAGCAACAGAAAAGATCACAGCATCACGTCTGTGGTGTTCCTGCAAAGATGCAATACTTGGGGCCGCATCATGAGGAAGCACTGTGCACACCCCACTGAAGGCCGTCATCTAAAGTGACCACCATGTAATTTTTTTTTAAACATTTTATTAGGGGCTCATACAACTGTTATCCCAATCCATACACACATCAATTGTGTA